GGGTTGTGCCGATGTGCAAGGTTCAACATGCACTGCTCGCTCCGCGGGTGTGCAGTGGGCGATCAGAGGCCTCGCGTCTGGGCCACGAAGAGCAGCGTCCTTGCAACGACCATGGCGTCCAAGGCGATGCTGAAGAAGGCGGCGGAGATCGAGGCGCGCCTCGCCGCGCTCGACGGCCCCGAGTGGGACTCCGACGACGACGCGCCGGAGGCCGCGCCGGCGAGCCCGACGGCGGCGCCCGAGGCGCCGGCGCCCAAGCTGGGCCGCAAGGCGAAGAAGCGCGCGGCGGCGGAGCGGCGCGAGCGCGAGGAGAAGAGCCGCGTCATCTACATCGGCCACATCCCCGACGGCTTCTTCGAGGACCAGATGCGCGGCTTCTTCGGGCAGTTCGGCGAGGTCACGAACCTGCGGATCTCGCGGTCCAAGAAGACGGGCAACTCCAAGGGTTACGGCTTCGTCGAGTTCGCCGACGGCGACACGGCGGCCGTCGCCGCGGGCACCATGGACAAGTACCTCCTCTACGGCAAGCAGCTCGTCGTCCACGTCGCGCCCCTAGACCTCGCGCGGCACCCGAAGCTCTTCGCGCACAGCGACAAGCCCTTCCTCAAGCGCCGCGGCGGCAAGGAGCAGCGCGAGAAGAGCCTGGCGGCGGCCAAGGCCAAGACCGACGAGCAGCGCGCCGCGGGCGCCGCCGCGCTCCTCAAGAAGGAGGCGAAGAAGCGGAAGCGCCTTGCGGAGAACTTCCCGGGCTTCGACTTCCCGGGCTACGCGGGCGCCGCCCAGGGCGCGCGACGACCAGACGACGACGGCGCGCCGAAGAAGAAGAAATCTTCCGCGGACCCGGAGAAGAAGGCCGCGAAGAAGGCGAAGAAGGCGAAGAAGTAGGCGCGCGCGCGGGGTGTAGTACGTAGTGCTCTCTCTCGGGACGGGGGCTCTCTGTGTGTGCGGGGCATCCGTAGGCAGGGGGCTGGTGCGGGCAACGACGGTCCTGTGCAATCGAGCAACTTACTTCTAGACGGGATTTGTCTCGCGGAAGCTCTAGGGGAACTTGAAGCAAAAGCAGAAGGTGCTCTCGCTGTCGCGCGCCTTCGTCGAGGACCAGACCTTGTCCTCGGCCGCGATCACGGACACGTCGTCCGTCGGCGTGGGCGCCGCGACCTCGGCCGCCGCCGGCGCGGGCGTCTCGGTCGGCGTCGCCGCGGCCGCGGGCGCGACTATCGGCGTCGGCGACTTCGACTTCGGCGAGAAGACCTCGTGCATGCCCGTGAGCGACGCCGCCGCCTTCCGCGCGGACCGGAACGACTTGCGCCGCGAGCCCTTCATCTCAGAGTCCGAANAGTCGCCCTGCTCGACGAATTGATTCCCCGGCGG